TTTCTGATTGTTTTAAGAGAGTTTTTTATAGCGAAAAAGCGGCATTGTAGAGCGAAGGGCTGCCAAAACGCACCCTATTTTTCACGAGAATTAATCAAAGCTTGCTCCGGAGGTTTCTTCACTCTCTACCTCTCTTTTATTGTCCTTTTTACTTACATTAAATTGTGCAATAGCTACTAGGGCCATATAGTCATATTATTTTTAATTCCGCAAATAAAAGGGTAAAAGCATCATTTCAAAAGTTTTTTTTATAAAATAACTGGCCCATCATAGGGAACCCGAAAGGGGCGTCGTAGGGGAGCTAATACCTCCCTTACACGTAACTAACTCCCTTACCCAACTCTGGTTTTAACGACCAATGTTGGTTTTTCTTAAAAAACCAACGCCCTTTTCTTTCCTTTTTCGATGTTTCTGGTAAAAACATCGGTGGCAACTCCATAAGAACCCTCTCAATCTTGCTCTTAGGTCAGCCCGGTTATCGGACGATCTAAAAGCCCTCTTTTGAAAACCTTGCCCTTAGGTTCAACCCGGTTATCGGACAACCTAGAGGCGTTGTAACTCCACCCATATTAAAACGTGAAAAATGGAAGTCAGAACCATCGCGTCGCTCCGACTGCCTCCTTTTGACGGCAGTGACACCCCATTATAGGGTCTCCACTCTCCCATCCTTCAGACCATGCATGGCACTAGGGCCTTATCAGTCTTTGGGCCAAAAGATGAATGTTATCACCTTGAAGTGGTGGTTTCCGACCATACCGGTAGGCTCATGGCTCTCACTACGGCAAATCGTACAATACCACCCACTTCCTAAGGTTATCCCACTTGCCCTCGGGTATAGGGGGAACTGTTGTGTGCAAGAGTTTGTGTACAATTGTTATTTCAAACAATTGCATAAAGTAAACATACAACAATTATTAAACCCAAGCAATAAAACATGTTATAAAGCAAGGAAGGGTAAAAAGTGTAATTTCAAGTTTTATTTCTCAAACTAGTCCATCACTAAATGGGATCAACTCTCTAGCTTTCCTAGTGGAGTCGCCATCTGTCACTGCCGTTAAAAGAGGCGGTCGGAGCGACGCGATGGTTTTGTTCACTCGCATTTTTTTTAAGAAATGGTTCAATACCTTTAGGTTGTCCAATAACCAGGTTGGACCTAAAGGCGAGATTTTCGAAAAGGTTCGAGGAGTCGCCACCAATATTTTTACCAAAAACATTGGAAAAGGAAAAAGAAGGTGATGGTTTTTAAGAAAAACCAACTTTGGTCATTACAACTAGAGTTAGGTAAGGGAGTTAGTTACGGGTGGGGAAGGTATTAGCTTCCCCACAACGCCTCTTTCGGGTTCCCTATGATGGACTATTTTTATAAAGAAATAAGAACATTAAAACTACGCTTCTACCCTTATTTATTCATTGCAAAAATTAAATTATTGACTACATGGCCCTTAATAACTAATGCACATAGATAATAACTAATAAAAGTGGTAAAATAGAATAAGGGATATGAAAGAACCTTCGAAGCAAGCTTTTTATAAAATATTCTTGAAAAGGGAACTTTTCGGCAAAACCCCACGCTCTACAATGTAGCTCACTCTTCTCTCAAAGTACTTTAGAAAGCTTTCTAAGAACTCTAATACTCTGGAAATTCTTCAGAGGGGTTCTAGGAGAGTATTTTGAGTAGTATGCAGTTGGAGAAGTTGTAGAAGGTTGTGAAAACAAGGAGAAGGTCCCCCCCTTTTATAGAAATGTTCACCTGTCAGGTCGGGACCGCCATCTCGCTTGATAAGGTCGGGACTGCCGTCTCGACTTTCGGGACCGTCGTCTCGCCTTTGGCCAGTGGCGAGACAGCGGTCTCGTCTTTGGCAAGTGGTGAGACAGCGGTCTCGCCTTTGGCAAGTGGCGAGATGGTGGTCTCACCAAACGAGACGGTGGTCTCGCCCTTAGCCAATGGCGAGACGGCGGTCTCGACCCTTTTGGTGGAATTTTTTATTTTTCGTATACAAAAAGTCTTCCTATTCTAGTATGGAGCCTATTGATCAATCCTAGGGACCTTTTAGGCCTTGCCCATCTTTGAATGAAAGTCTTCTGCTCTTTATTTTTTAGGTCGGGCAAGATTTGGGGTCTACAGACATGAAATTAATCCCAAAGGTTATCTAAGTGTGAAGGTTTGGTTCTTAAGCATTCAAATTGGGGGAGGGGGGAACTGAAGTAAAAAAAATAAAGAAATGGAAAACAATGGAGGAAGAGATTAGAGAAAGGGAAAGGGAACAAGGGTTATCACATCACTTAGTGAGCAAAGTCTACCAAGATAAATGGGGAAGATGACACCACTTGAGAAGACTCAAGATAAGACACTCAAAGAGGAGTTCTCACTCTTAAACACAAGGCTTACAAATACTCTCTATCAAAGATATGTATATTCCAAATCAGAAACAAGAGGAGGAGAGATCTCCTTTTATACGAATGGTAGGGATCTAGGGGGAATTACATTGGAAAAGATCCTAAGCATATTCTACCCTATATGCTTTGATGGAGGACCATTTAGGCCACAATACATTAGGTCTCAACCAAGGCTCATGGCTAGGATGATAGAAGAGGAGGAAGATTTCCCATGAACACTCCTTCTTTAGAATCTTTCGTATTAAAAATCTTCTTCTACCTTTAGTATTGTATAAAATTATTAAAGCCTCCCTTTTCTCTTTTGTAGGACACACTTGATTAAAGAGCTTCAAGGGGGCTACAACTACAAGGCCATAGTCCAACACTTGGAATGGTTACATAGAGAGAGCCACAACCACTCCTTCACTCACTCTAATTGGTTGCACATTATGGAGACTCATTTGTGTACAAACACTTAGAAACACATTTCCCAAAGCTATGTGGAACTTGGAAGGAGCAGAGCATCGAAAGAAAGGAGCAAGGATTTAACACTTGGTTAAGAAAAAAAGGGGCTACACCTTTTCTTATCTTATCTCTTAGCCAAGATGACTCCAAGAGGAGGTGACCAAGAGTAAATCCTACAAAAAAAAATTAAGATGTTAGCCCACTGGTTTATGACCTAATTAAAATGCTAAATAATGAAAGACTAGAGGGGTTGGAAGAAGTGTCCCTTTTGGTCATAATTATATGCCATGGGCTTATCAAAATGCCACATTTTTGAAGGAGTATAGTAAATGGACCTTAGTGTTGCCAAGTTTCATTATACCTTCTGTAATACTCACCGTCTTTAACAAACCTGACAACTTTCACCTTTCTATCTAACTGTTTTTCTACTTCATTCAAATAAAATTTTAAGGTACCCACTACTTGAGATTTTTCATGCAGTAAATAGACATAATCATAAATAAAAGTGGTAAAGTATATTTATTTCCTGAAAGATGTAACATCAAAAGATCCACAAATATCAATGTGCACAATTTCAAGGAGTGGATTGTTTCTTATAATGTGTGTGTGTGTGTTTTTTTCTTTTATACCATCCACACAAATATTTAAATCGGTAAAACCTAGATCCAAAAAAGTTATTCTTTATTAATCTTTTTATCCCTTTTCTAGAAATGTGACCTGAACATTTATGTCACCAAAAAGTAGATTGTTTATTCACTAAATTATGTTTAGTTCCAACATTTATGATGTAAGTTATATCCATATGATGCTTTCTTTTGAATTTTCTCATATGCCTCCCTCATAAATCTTTAGTAGTCTTTTACCCTTATCATGTTTCTTCATAAATTTATTTCCAACTCCACGATTCCCTTGTTGGTTTTCAGATTGATAATTTTTATTTATTTACAACTCATCTATCTATTTAGAGGTCCCCCTCTCTTTTATATTATATTTTTATTATTTATTATATTTTTTAGAAGTTTGAATCAATACCAAATAAATATATATTCGTGTAAAAATATAAATTATATATAAAATATTTTTTTATATGGATTTGTAATTTAATGAAAGAATATAATCTTTATAATTTATTTATAATGATATAAAATAAATTTGGGAAACGCATCATTCGCTCAAGTAAAAAAATACCAATTTTCACTCAAGCGAGATATTTTCGCTTGAGCGAGTGAATTTTCATGAGCTTTAACGTATTTTCGCTCAAGCAAGAGTCAATCTCACTTTCACCCTCGAGCGCGCCCTTACATCTAACATATAAATATATAAATATATAATTATATAAATATATATAAATATATATATATATATATATAAATATATCAAAACATATAAATATATATAAATATATCAAAATATATAAATATATTTGTATTTATATATTTTATATTTATATATTTATACGGATATATATTTATTTTTATAAAAATATAATTTATTTGTAAGTTATTATCGGAAAATTTTAGTAATTTAGTGGTTGAAGTATCAATCTCTAACTCTATGGTACTCGGGTTCGAATCCTATCGATGATAAAAATAAAATCATTTTCTACATTAGTTACAATCAGAATCGACGTTGAATAAAAATCGACGTGGAAAACATATTCTATAGTAGTGTATTAGACTTTTCCCAAGCTTTATAATAAACTTGTTGTTCATTGTTTCAAGTATATAGCAAGATCAAGATTTATGACATTAAGGTGAAATTAGACTTGTTCATTCTAATGAGATAAGTTATGGGCAAAATGTGTGTCACATGCCTTTCACATGAGATATCACCATAAAATATATGTGATTTATCGATAGATTGATGGTCGTTGATAAACTAACATTACCAATGGATTTAGTTGTCACTAAGTTGGTGAAACCACTATCTAAACAATGCATCAATAAATTCCATTGAAAAATATGGTGTCATTTTTAATGAACTTTATTGAAGGACTTTTCCAACATATATTTATATCTACCCATCAATAATTCAATAATGTCCATTGGTAAATAAATAAAAAATTAAAAAATAAATTATTGTTTGGGGATCCATCACCAATTCTATATTGTCCATTGGTAAGTGGAATAAAATAGGTTGAAATTAATTATTTTCAAAAGGCTAGTGTGCATGTGTGCTCTAATTCTCTTCTTCCTCCCAAATCATCTTCTTCCCTATCCACAAACATCTTGAGTCCTCTAAATCATCTTGACCACACAAATTGCCCAAAAATAACATTTTCTTCCTCTACGGTATGTGCACGACACATAATTGCCCAACAATCCCAAGTCCTAATGCGTGGAGGCATGCGAGCAACATCAATACACATTGTGGTAGGTGTTCTTATTTTGTGTTTAATCTCATTTAGAATTTTAATTCATTAAAGTTGAATAAATGTGAAAGAGTTAGGGTTTGAGATGTTCATTAGTTTGTCAGACATTATCATTAGTTCGATATGTGTATTTCTAAATGATGAGTACCTAAGTTCCCATGAGAAGGGAGAGACTATCCCTAGGAGGATCATTAAAAGCGTAACTAGAAGGGAAGTCTCCTCCTCGCCATTAGCTTTTAATTTACTTAATATTTTTCCTTCTCTTCAATTTTATAGACTCATTTAAATCTTGTTTTTTTAGGATTACTAAAGGACACCTTTCTTTTGAAGTTCACCACCTTTTTTTGAAGGAAAATAGCCTTAGACTCAAACATTGAGAATATTACTTTGTTATCTTTTATTTAATTTAGGTATTAAGAGATTTTTATTATTGTTTAGAATAAGAGAAAAGAATATTAAGTTATCATTTTGATTTAGGTAGTTATGATTAAGATATTATTAAACTTTGTTGTCATATTTTTATTCTATATATGGAGTATACAAGTATATGAATAAAAGATGGAGACATGCCCACATAAGATATATTTCATATATAAAAATACACTTACACAAAACCCTACAAATTATCATCAGTGGTATCAAGAGCTTTGATTCTTAAAAAAAGAATGAAAGGAGAAGGAAGTATTTGACAAGTCGTTATTCCAATTTTTAATGGTGAAAGTTACTATCTATGGGTCGTGAGAATGAAATCCTATCTTAAAGAACTAGATTTATGGGAAGTTGTAGAAGAGGATTACATCATTGATCTGCTACCTAAAAACCCCATCATAACCCTAATCAAAATCTACAAGGAAAGAAAAATGAGGAAGGTAAAAGAGAAGTCATGTTTATATGCAGGTATTTCATAAATGATTCTAATCATAATCATAATCCTAAAGTCACATAAAGAAATTTAGGATTATTTGAAAGAAAAATTGAAGTACCCACAAAGAGGGGCATAAGAGCTCTAAAAGAGAAAATTCCAACAACCAATTAGGCTAACATCATTGTTAGAAAACAAGACTCTGAGAAACAATAATCGCTCAAGAAAGAATTGCTAGATATGTAGGAAACATTACATGAGATGTGCCTTGAAAAGGACAAGACTGAAGAGATCTTAAAGGCCAAAGATGAGGTTCTCAAGCAAAAGGATAAGGAACTTGAAAAACGTAGTCATGAAATTGAGAAGCTTAAGGTTGAGATGGAAAAACTGCATAAGTTGAAGGAGTTTAAACCTACAATGAATTTACCTGTGTTGAAAGACAATAACACAAAGAAGAATAACAAAAAGAAATGGTGCTCTGATAAGAAAATATCTTCTTCACATTACATTTTGTGGAGAAAAGATTAACGGAAGATCAAGAAAGCAAATTCCAACATGTTAGGATCTAAATGGAAGACTATCGATGCAGAAAAATAAAAGGCCTTATGAGAAGAAATATCATGCTAAGAAAAAAGTTTGTTTGCACGTGATTGTAAAGGAAAAACATGATAGTGCAACACAAAATTGAATGAAGTGATAATCACAAATAAGAAAGAGAATGACAAGAATTATAAGCAAAAGATGAAGAAGAAAACAAGATTAGAAAGGAAAAATATTAAATTCAAATATAAAGATATTAAAGTAAGAAGGAATGTTGAGAATATTAGTTTATTATCTTTTATTTAAATTAGATATTACGAGATTTTTATTATTCTTTAGAATATAAGAAAAAAAATTTAGGTTATTATTTTGATTTAGGTAGTTATGATTGACATATTGTTAATATTTGATATTTTGCCATATTTTTACTCTCTATATAGAATATATGAGTATATGAATAAAAGATGGAGACATGTCCACATAAGATATTTTCATATATTAGAAATACACATACACAAAACCTTAAAAATCCTCATCACATCCTAAATGTTAGTCATGATTTGGAAGGTAAATGTTTTAAAAATCCTAGATAATAGTATAAGGAATAGTTGTTATTCAAATATATATATATATATATATATATATATATATATTGTTTATTATATTACTATATACCTATAAATTATTAACAATGATAAAAGAAAACACTCAAAATTAATGACATTTATAATAAAAAATTAAAAGTCATTGGTGTCTTAAACAAAACATACAAGTAAATACCAACAAAAGTGAAACACAAGTTTCCTAGATAGGAATCAACAATCATCATCTTCTAATTCCAAGGTGACTTAATCATTTTCACTACTATTACAGTTGTATGTTTCATTTATTGAAATTAAAAATCCAAAACTAGCCCCTTATGTTGAAAATACAAGGATATGATGCCTGAAGATTTTGATGATGCTTTAGAGACAAAGGACTTCAAGATTAGAAGACTCATATATAGTTATATCTACTTGTAATAACCCTATTTTATCATTTTGAGTCTGTAAAAATAGAGTCCAAGATAGCTAGCACACAGTTTGTCCATTGAAAGTTCATTTTTATCCAAAACCCACTGTGATAATCGATTATCACCTGTGGATAATCGATTATCAGTAATCGATTATCACTCGTGATAATCGATTATCTTAGCTCTTCTGGGTGTTTGAAAGTCTCTGGAATAATCGATTATCACTGCTGATAATCGATTATCTTGGCTAAATTGAGTATTCTGCTAAAATGGCTCTAGAATAATCGATTATCACTTATGATAATCAATTATTTGTGTCAGTTATGATTTTGAATTTCAAATTTATGACCTAATTTTGAAAATCCTAAGTTCTAAACCCTAAAATTTCTATTTAAGGAACTCTCTAGCTCTCTGTAAAGGACAACATTTTTCATACTAAAGTCTATAGTTGTGATTGTTGAGAGTACTTTGAGTAGGGAAGAAAAAGGGGATTTTGTAACCTAGTGTGGGCTAGAAGTGATAAGAATCACTGAGTGAGTTTCTTGGTGGATTGTATGTTGTGTCGTCTATAGGAAAAACTGTCTTCATCCTTTGTGGATTCAAAGGAGGTGTTCATCTCTCGTGTGCTTCAAGAGAGGTGTTTTCTTATCCTTATCTTTTGTAATTTGTTGTTGGTTTGAAACAATATTTTAGTGATTGAGTTAATCCTCTTTTAGAGTGATTAACAACTGGACGTAGGGTCTCTTGATCCGAACCAGTATAAATCAACTGTGTAATCTTCTTTCCCTTATCTCTTTACTTTACAGATGTTGTTTTATCGGTAAAATCTTGTGAAAATTTTTAAAAAGGAAAAGTTTTTATAAGAAACCAATTCACCTGCCCTCTTGATTTTTGTCCTAAACGCAAACATTCCGATGTGCGATATCAACAAGTGGTATCAGAGCTTGCTTTGATAGTTTTTCAAAATTTCGAAAATGGTCGTGTCGCCGCCGTCCGTTCCGACGTCTAGGGACATCTCGAACGTTTATGCCAGCGGTCGCGAAAAGATGGTTTAGACTCGCGTTTTTTGTTTAAAGTGTGTTCATTTCTTCCGAGGTGCTCAAAAACTGAACTATCCTCTAATAAAAGCAAGGTTTTCGAAAAGGGTTCTTTTGGAGTCGCCACCAATGTTTTGACCATAAACATTGGAAAAGGATAAAAAGGCGTTGATTTTATTAAAAACCAAACTTGGCCATTATAACCAGAGTTAGGTAAGGGAGTTAGTTACGTGTGGGGAAGGTGTTAGCACCCCACAACACCCCTTTCGGGTTCCCTATGACGGATTAATTCATTTGAGTAAAGATTACGAGAAATTACACGATTACCCTATTTTATTGCATAATGTTAAAAATGGCTATCTACATGATTTTAGTTAACATTACATACAAAAAGCAATAAATAAAGCAGTAAAGGAGAAGAGAATTGAACAGAACCTCCGTAGCAAACTTTATATTACAAATCTTTGATCGCAAGGATGCGTTTTGGCAATCCTTCACTCTACAAAGACTCTCCTCTCCAAATACAAGATCGACTCGACTCGATTTTACAAAAGAATCGAATGCTGGAATATGATTCCTTAACTGATTGTTACCTTATCAAGGCAATCAGAGAGTTCATTCGAAGAGGGAAGAGGATAGACAAGTACTAGGAGTTGTCTGGTCTCTTTAACAGTGCCAAATGAGCTTCCTATTTATATTTTTCGCTGCCTGCACACTTGGGACGCGCGTCTGGGTTGGGACGGCCGTCTCGGTTGGGACGGTCGTCCCAACTGCATGTTTTACAAAGGCTGGGACGCCCTGGGGAGCTGGGACTGGTAGTCCCACTTGGGACAGCCGTCCCACTTGGCCAGGGAAGGTTGGGACGGCCGTCTCGACCTTGGGACGGCCGTCTCGACCTGTTTTGGCCAGCTTTCGTGTTCTGGGACCCCCGGGAAGCTTTCCTTTGTGTATTCGAACGTCGTTTGATGCCGATAAACGCCCGTTAAAGCTTTATCTTCATATAGGAAGTCTTCTTGGCCTTTATTGAGATGTCAGGCGAGCTTTGTCTTTGTAGGAAGTCTCTTCAGCTTTTATTATTGAGAGGTCGAGCGAGCTTTGTCTTGTCATATGAGATATTCTCAGCCTTTATTGAGAGACCGGGCAAAATTAGGGGTCTACAGCTGCCCCCCCCCCCCTTCACCTGCCTGGCTAATTATGTTGGCTTAATATGCCGACAAAATAAGTTGGTAGGGGAAGGAGTTAACCCTTTTGCCCGGTTATCCTTCGGATGCTTCTTTGCTGATCCTCCAGATGATAAATATTTTTGTTAGGTACTAACCCCTATCTGGTTTGAACCTTACTTTATAAGGCTACGGTGAGTACTTACCCTCACCGATGCAGTCTGTGTTTCACTAGACTCTTGTGGGTATAAACCTTGTTTTGCAAGGCTTTGGTGAGTATCTACCCTCACCCGGTATGAGTTCGCATTTTGCTAAAACTCTTGTGGGTACTTACTTCAGAGGTGCTCAACATCTGAACTATCCTCTAATAGAAGTAAGGTCTTTGCAACC